GTAATGCATCGCTTGGAAATAAAGAAGCATTTATATTACATCTGTTATTTGTACTTGTCATCTTTTTATATATGTTTATAGCTAATTATGCTGGGCAAGAAATTTTAAATTACGGTACTCATATATACTCCACCGCGTAAGGAACAATTTGTTGTTGGCAATTGCATATACTTATGTACATATATTAATATATAGATACATATCTTCTTCATTAGTAATTTATTATTATTTATTATATTATTTCATAGGTACAATGTTCGATGGTATAATGCACCATTACACGTACAGAAGATGATATTGTTGATTTTACAAAGGGGCAGTAAAACTTTCGGCCTAAATGTTGCCGGACTATTTGCAATATCATTAGAATGTTTTGCCATGGTAAAAATTATCGTATGTCATAAATTGCGATTTTTACAGCTAGTTTAGCATATTTCATAGTACAATGTAAGAGACGTATGCATTTCATTATTACAGTTAACGAAAGCGTCGACGTCTTATTTCACCGTCATATATACTATGCAGCAATGATGTAAAAATTCATTATTTAATAAAAATCGACCATAAAATATTATATTTCCCACATTTGAAACTGTAAAATGTTATTTCAATAAAGTTTGCATAAATTAAATAACACCAGATAACAGCATTTTGTTTCCTGACTGTTGCACTGTTTAAATAATTAAGGAATCACAAATTCACAATTATTTTTTTTAGATAATAGATATCTATTTAATTTTTCTATTATGAAAAACATATACACATCATGTGAAATGTGTGTTGAAAAAGTATGAAACAAAACGAATGACATCTATTACTCTAAAATTAATGTTACAAATGTATACAGAATTGACGTGTATATTTTTGAACGAGTACGATGATATCATAATTTTTCATCAATATCAATAAGTGATATATCATAAGAGATCTAATAAACAAAAATGTAAATATAATATAAAATAATATAAAAACATGCATGTGTTTCAATTAAGAGAAACAATTATTGAGTATCGCTTGTTACAAGTGTAGAAAGTTTTGAATAAAGATTCACGGTACCTTGTATATTTTGGCCGGCGACAGTTTTATAGCTTTGCCAAGACACGTCAGGCGGATCGACTCTGTGTTCCTGTAGAAGGACAAACTTCTTCCACGAGCGCACATACAAGACTGAGGCGTATGAAACCGAGTTATTTGAAAAAAGAGCGATTGCGCTTGCGCCGGCTTCGATCGAAGAATAGCCACTCTGTGAGTGTTTGGTTGTGTGAGGTAACACCTGTTAATTTTCTTTCGGTGTAAAATCGATTGTCTACTTATCTCTTTTCAAGCGAATGTTGAACTGTACGAGTGTTTCGATAAGTGTTCTCGTGATAATGTTTTGTGCGGCATTGCGTTTTGCATTTATACAAAATTGTGTGTGTTAAATGTATTGTAATTATAAGTTTAAAAATTTTAGTAGATAGAGATTTATTATAGAAAAGTAATTTATTATATCGGTAATTATTCAGTTTAGCGTCCTCACCTCAAATATCGATGAAATTATGCTCATTCGATGCGTTTTTGAATAAAACGAAAGAATATAGCAGAAAAAAGCGTCGCTCTGCCCCGCGAAGCGAAATATAATTATATGATTATTAAGTAAATATCTATAAAAGGTGACACCTCATCGATTTTTTCATTTTGATATATGTTATAAACAATAAATTTCTGAGTAACTTTAACTTAACAACTATGTGGGGTCGCATGCAGTTTCCGGAATATATCACTTTAAAGTATCCCAAGTATTGAGAACATAATGCTAATATTTTACAGAAACAAACCCAATGACTTTGATCATGACAAATGTCAAAATCACTATCCTAATATTCTCCAAAAGGTTTTAAGCGTCGCTCGTTGATTATTAAAAAGTTAATAACAAAAGAATTTCCACAAAATAGGTACTTTTCAGACCATGTATATTTAAAAAATGTATTCTTAGCAAATTGAATTAATTATGTAGAAAAATCGAACGCGTGGGCGGGGGAGGAAAATATTGCGGTGAAAGATTGCTACAATATGTATGCAATCTTTGTGTGCTGTATGGGATATATCAAAATGAAAAAATAGATGATATGTCATTTTTTACAGATATTTACCAATCATCGGGGAATATGTGAATAATATATACATATTTGATAATATTCTGAATTTTTTATATGTGTATGTCCGAAAATAAAAAGAAAATATTACATAATAGAACTATAAAAATTGAAAATCTAATTATAAATTCTAAATTCCAAATAAAATAAAAAAAATCATGATTATACATTTAACATTTATACACAATTTATACATATTCATAAAACATTAATATATCAGCCATGCTATTTTAGATTTTTTGGATTTTATCGCTTCAAAACAACAAAAAAAAAAAGATTTACTATACCTTTTCATTGTAACTGTAATGCCTTTATATATTTGTAAATTATGAATGCATTTTCTTATTTATTATATCTAATCGTTTGTTCGTAGGTATAACGTTCGTTGGTACGTAGCACTGTTACATATATAAAAGTTAATATTATTTTTGTTGCAAAAAGATAGCAAATCTTTCAGTCTGAATGTCGGTGGATTGTTTGTAACATCCTTGAAAACATTTGCCTTGCGTGTAATAAAAATTATACCATATATTATGATATAGAATAGACAATATGGCATGTATTGCACAATCAAAATAAAAGAGAACGACTATTTATTGTAGTTAACGAATGCATTAATATCTTATTTCACTGTCATGTACTATACCCAGCAACGTGAAGAATATATCGTCTAATATATTGAAATAAAAAGTCTAATATATTGCAATAAACGAGTATATCTAGTATATTGAAAATAAAAAATAGTAGTAAGTGTAAGAACATAAACGTCCAGTTTTTTACCTGCAATTAATTGAGTCTCATCTCCAGTTAATAATCAGAACAAATAATTTAAAATATATACTGTCTTTTTAAATCTTAACAATACTGATTTTCTTTTTAAATTATGTTACCTATGTAAGCAAAGAGAAAAAAATTAATACTCTTTTAAATAACTAGTTTAATAATATTTATATTCCGAAAATAAATATTTTTTTTGTGCATGCCTCGAATATATAAAAAACAAAAGCAGCGAAATGTCGACAATTGATGAATAAAATAATAATTTCAGAAACATATAAATCCCCGCCATGTTAGAGAATAGCGAGGATATGTTGTTGGAAGAAAAACATCACACACACACATTAATTAAAGTCATAAGATATTACTTAAAAAATGGATGATATAACAAGTAAGCGTAATATATTTTTAATGGCACCGTACTTTTCAACTGTTGAAAAATTTGATTTAAATTTAACATATATCGCATGTCCAAACGGTCTACATAAATTTTTGTGTTAATTAAACATAAAATGGATATGTTAAATGGTGACATTAATTACTATGTTAGTATTTCAACACAAAATGAATGCAAACTTCATAGTCATTTAAAATAAATTTTGTGTAAAATCAACATATTTTTTATGATAAGATTAACTTGAAAAGATGTTATTAAAGGACTGTAATCACTCTCATTCCTATTATAGAATAAAATTAATATTTTTTTCTGTAGATTTAAATAGATAAACTTGTCACTGATAATACGGAATATATCTATTGGGTAAAATTAAAAATATGTGCTATTTTACATTGTGTTATTTTAACCATTTTTTCAGTTGTTTTAATAATTTAACATCTGTGTTCAATTAATACAATAACAATATGTTAAATTAACACATAAATGTGTTAAACATTTAACACACAAATTTTAACCGGCGTATTTTTTAATAAGACAACACAAATTTTCCAACAATGTACCAAATCTGAACCGTTATTATGTGCAAAAAATTAGCGTCAAGTTAGAAACTACATATAGTAATGCTTACTTTAACGGTAATATTTTCATGGCTGCCGTGATAGCGCGTAAAGGCGATCAATCCACACTGTCTTCAAAGAACAACCGTACCCGACGAGTGCACGAGCTAGAATGAGGGACGTAAAAATGCGACGCGGGGGAAAAAAGCGACTGCGCTTGCGCGAACTTAAACTAAGAATTCATATTGCCTGAATACCTTTATGTGAGAAATAAACATCCGTCAAATTTTTCTTCACTGTCAAATCGATAGTTAAATAATTTCCTACCCCTTCCTAAGCAAAGATACGAAATTGCGAATATTTTCACCGTTTGCGATCTCATGCTAGTATTTTGTACTGTATTGTCATACATTTATATATTAAAGATATTTACGTTACAATTTACAATACAAAAGGAACAAATTATGAAATATTTAAGAAAGAACTTGAGAATGAGGGATAGTTGAAATCTTGCTAATTTTTTCATGGTCAGACGCGTCTCGATTCTCATCGAAAGATGATATGCATTGTGAAACAGCATTTCAAACTCAATCGTGTTCTTTTACTTGCAATTGGCTTATGGCCTTATCACCAATCATTATTCGTTCGATTTCAGCGAATCTTGCTTATTGGTATTCTGATAAGTAGTGCTGTATTTCAGGTATGCCAATACTCTTTCAATTGCATTATTATGTATCTAATAGGCCATTATATGTTTAAATTTAATTATTCAATAATATATAGTCTATATATAATAATAATATATTTAATTTTTAACAATACGAAATGCTATAAAAATGCTGTATTATGAACATTTTATATGATTATAATCATTTCGTTATGTAATCATGAACCGAAAAGTAACTGACTATTTCAAACTAGTAATCAAATAAACCAAATAATTTTAATCAATATATTGATTGCAGTTTACAGTATTTTTGACTTCAGAATGTACACTTGACTTTGTTATCAAAATTCTCTCTTCCGTATTATATTTTATGATATTTATGATTAAATACAACTCGTTTTGGGTTAATTTTCAAGCCGTGAGTTACACCATTATTAGATTTGTTTAATATACAATTAAATTAATCTTTTCTTGTATATAACTTTTTCAAATTTTACAACATAAGATGTGTAAATAAACCATTTTTAACATGATAGGTGAAAAGTTTATTGGAGCAACTTCAAAATATTTGTAATGAGTTAAAAGATGAGAATGAAGTTGTTATTATGAAAAAATATGGGAACAACGCAAAATGTTATACAACTAGAATAATAGGTAAAACACAATATTTTAAAAAAGAATTAATTAAACAGTAACAAAAATCAAATGATTAGGAAGAAAAAAGAAAAAAAAATTTCATATTTTGTGCGAATATATTTCCGAGTATTATATATCAAAATATAAATAACGTAAAAAACGTAATAAATTTTTTTTAATTGTATAATTTATTTAATTAAAATTAATATTTATTTATATTATTACCAAAAATAAAAATTCTTGGATTTTTTAAATAGTATTTTAAATACTGCAACAATCTAAAAATCTGTAGTAAAAAACTTTTTGTGCTGTTGTCTGCAAAAATGTTTAAAACAAGTGATACAAAAACCAATAAATATATATAAAATATAAAAAAGATATTCGATACAATATTTCGAATTAGTTATGAACTAATCGCGATTAGAAAATTTCAAAAACAGCGCGATTTATATGTCTTTTTAAATATATTTAGGGGTTTCAATGTTCAGCATATTTATTTCCTTTTTTGTGCCAATATGGCCGCGTATTCTTGATATTGTTCTGCCCATGAATGAATCTCGATCACGTTCTACACTATTACATCTGACCCAGTACTTTGTCGATCAGGAAAAGTATTATTATTTAATTGTCTTGCACATGAACGCAGCCATGTGTATAGGGGGAACTGCAATTATAGGAACAGGAACAATGCTCATAGCATACCTCAAACATGCTTGCGGAATGTTTACAATTGCCAGGTAAAAAAAATATAATACCTTCATAAAAATTTTTCATAACGTAAGTAAAATCTTTTTTACCATTTTCCAAACAAAAAATAGAGAAACAATAGTTATATATAAGATAAATATTATTTATAGTTACCGTATCGAGCAAGCAATGACAGTTAATAATTTACAAAATAGCTTACAGAATGAGATTTTAATTTATAAGGAAATAATTTGTGCAGTGGACGTTCATTGCAAAGCTATAGAGTTGGTATATTTATCCAATTATACAATATTTGCTAATAATAAACATAACGATATTTTCTTGTTCTTAAAGATTCTCCAAATCTTTAATATCTAGTTTTGAGGGATCATTCTTTTTTTTAATAGGATTTGGTGTGATTTGTTTGAGTCTCAACCTTTTTGAAGTACGTTTTTAAACTTATCTAGCTTATATTGTGACATATAATATCATAATTAAAAAAATTTGTTAATAAAAAAATAATAAACGAGCTATGAAAATATTTGAAAATCTAAATTCTAAATTGAACTAACATCAAAATTATAAATTATACGGAAAAAAGATGTAAAACAAAAAAGTTTCATATCTAATGTTTCTAATTTTATTTTGCAATATAATTTGCCTATAAAAACTGTTTAATTTTAATATGCATATATACAAAGAACATTGATCGCAGTCCATTTATTGTTTTAGATGTATCAGACTTTATCGTATGGAGATGATAGAGAAGAATTTTTATTTCACTTTATAATTGTAAACCTAATTCTTTTATACATGTTCTTAGCTAACTATGCCGGACAAGAAATAATAGATCACAATAATCATATATTTTATACCGCGTAAGAAACAAAATTTTATATATTATGTTCACAATTTTACACTTCCTATAAAATGAAAATATAAAGTTAAAATTCGAAAAACCTATACATCTAATTGTAAGATTACTGACACACTTCTCAAATTATCGATTCGTTGTCTGGTCATTTGTTCGTAGATACAACGTTCGCTGGTATGTAGCACCGTTACACGTACAGAAACAGATATTATTTATATTACAAAGGAGCACCAAAGCTGTTAGTCTAAATGTGGGTGGACTGTTCGCAGCATCCTTAAACTGCTTTGCCTCCGTAAATATCATTTATGAAGATATTTAACGATTCTATCCAAGATCAAACCAATGACACCATTTTATGTTCCCCTCAAAACCATACAATTTTTGTTCAAAACGTTTTTCTCTAAAATGCTTAGCTTTTGAAAGAAAAAGGGTGTACGGGTTAGTCTAGGACACCCTGTATATACAGTTGTGCTTATAAGTATTTTGACTAAAAGATTTTTTCATATATCTTTATTTATAATAGTATCGTAAATAAGTAATGCACATGAACAAAAAAGTTATTCAATTCTTACAACTTTTGTATAAGAAAAATGAATATTATTAAATTTTGCTTCCTTATAGAAACTTTGTTTTCGTGACAAAATTTTTTTTCGGGTTTTTGATGCTAATGTGTTCAGAATGTTCAAAAACGTCAAAAGATCATATTCCTAAAAAATGTATGTATGTATGTATGTATGTATGTATGTATGTGTGTGTGTGTGTGTATGTACGCGATTTGTTGTGCAATCGCTAATTTCCGCAATTTTTGAGATATCTAGTTAAATTTTTTTACATGGATAGAATATTATTAAAGGATAGTTGGTATTGAATTTGGTAAGAATCGGTGAAAAGGTTTATTTTTTATAAAATCTTAAATTTTTAAAAAATGCTTGTATACGTTGTAACTTTCACAAATTTTGAGATATCGGGTTAAATTTTTTTACATGTATAGATTATTATTAAAGGATGATTGGTATTAAATTTGGTAAGAATCGGCGAAAGGGTTCATTTTTTATAAAATTTTGAATTTTTTAAGAAATGTCTGTAGAAGTTGTAACTTTCACAAATTTTGAAATATCGGGTTAAATTTTTTTACATAAATAGAGTATCGTTAAAGGATGGTTGGTATTGAATTTAGTGAGAATCGGTGATTGCTTCTTTATTTTTTTATTTCGCTCACAAAGCTTCCTTTATGAGAAAGCAAAAATTGAAAAATCCGCATGTTTTTATAATAAAAAGGCACTAATGTTTTTGATGAGTGAACAAAATTATTTTGACAGCATGTAATAGTTCAAGAAAAACAATATTTTTTAAAGTGGATACATAAATTCTTCCATATTGTGATTCAAATATGTTTAATACTTTGTCGCATATCCATTGGCACTCATAACAGCTTTGCATCGCCTTGGCATGGAATCAATCAGTTTAGAAATGCGATCAAAAAGAATTTTTGACCATTCAGTTTTTAAAGCGGTCAAGAATTCATTCATATTTGTGAAATTTCGGATTCTTATCCGTCTATCGAGCTCTTTCCACATATGCTCAATGGGGTTTAAGTCGGGACTTTGACTTGGCCATTCCAAAACTTTTATTTTTTGTTTGTTGAAGTATTCTTTAACATATCGAGAGCTGTACTTTGGATCATTATCTTGTTGAAATGTCCAACCTCGTGGCATATTTCTTTTTGCATATGGGAGCATTTGTTTATCTAAAATTTCTTGATAAGCGGTCCATATTCCTCTATCCAAAATAATGGACCTACTCCTTTACGAGAAAAACGTCTCCAGACCATGACATTCCCTTCACCATGCTTCACAGTAGGTACTTGATATCGGATATTATATCTTTCATTTTTGGGGCGACGAACATACTTTATTCCGTCGGAAGAAAACATTAAATTAAATTTACTTTCGTCACTCCACAGCACCTTAGACCACTCAACTGATGTTCAATTTTGATGAGCTTTAGCAAATGTTATTCGGGCTTTTCTGTTCTTTTTAGAAATTAAAGGTTTCTTATTGAGTCGTCGAGCTATTAAACCTTGTTCTTTAAGATGTTGTTTTATGGTAGAAACATGTACATTTACTCCATAGTTTTCATGTAAATCTTTAGCAATAGCTGTGGCAGATTTTTGAGAATCTGCTATAGACTGCCTTTAAATTAATTTGTCTTTCTGGATAGTTGTTTTTCGTGGACGTCCCGACCTACTCTTATTATGTACATCACCTCTGACTTTATAACGACGATTCCGAACACTTACAAGTTGTCCCGATATGCCAAAGTCACGGGAAACGCTTATTTGTGTGCATCCTTCCTTCAGAGCATAAATGACAGCCTCTGTTATTTCTATAGAATATTCTTTTCTCTTTGGCATGGTTTTTCTAATATTTAAACATCGAAACATCAATATATATAAATAAAATTTTTACTTTTTTAGGTTTAATACCCTCAAAAATATTTGTCAAAATACTTACGAGCCAAACGAATAATGAAAACAAAAAATAAAAAGTATTAATTGCTTGATAATTCGTATTGATTTGTAATTTGTGCATGTGTTTCTTATCAGATGTCGTGTGTGACTGCCAAGTTTGTTGATCACATTGACCTTTAGCCGTGCGCGCTTCAAAAACTGTTTGTCAAAATACTTATGAACGCAACTGTATATAATGTCTCATTTCCTTTTTTTTAATCATAATGTTGCTTACACAACATGAACAGAGAGGAAAAGATTGGTTGACTTACATGCATGTAAAATCGATTACGTTAACGAAACCAACCCCATAGTTTTTTTTTTATAAATAACATGTGTGTTTTAATGCAGTTCAGATATGCGAGATCTTTTACTCTACTGCCGCATGTTAGTATTAAGTAAAAGTTTACAACATGGAATACTTTCTATCAGCGATATTTTCATGATTAGGTAGATATGTCTAATACATCTGATGAACCGAGAGACTTTATTCTTAAAAGAATAAACATATATCTTTTATATTTAAAGCAAAACAAGTATTCGTATTTAATGGTAAGAAAAAAAGAGAAACGAAAAAAGTGAAAATAACTGAAAAGAATAGACCTAACATTATTAAATCACACTTTAATCTATTTCTAATAATTATAAATAAGATAAGTTTTTTAAAAAAATAGTACAAACAGAAAAAATAGATTTTTTAGCTATTTTCAAACAATTTTTACCATAAGAAAGTCTTGGATATAGTCTTCTTGGATATAATCAAAATATCAAAATATGGTTTGGAGAGAATATAGAATAGCAAGGGAGACATCGAATCACAGTATAACCGTCAAGGGATGAGTTACCTCCTCTAACCCCAACTTTAAAATCTTAAATGGCACTATCCTCCTTCTGATACCTCAAATTAAAGATTTCAACAAGTACCTTTCATCTGCACAAGAAAAATTCAAATCGATCTAATTGTTTTCGAATGATACCGATTTGATGGTGGAAAAGTTATTATTTTTTAAAGCTATAAATGAGACATGTTTCATTTAATTTTTGATTATTCTTATAAAGTATTGTAGTTATAGTAAAGCAGTAGAAACAATTTTTGATGGAAAAATTATACAAAAAATTATATTTGTCCATTAATTTTTATAACTAACAAAAATAAAAACTCATTTATTATATTTTTTATTTAATGAAATGTTCAATATATGGTGTCCATTATTTTGTAAACAATAAAAAAGTCTGTTTTCAAGTTCCGTCCTGACATTTTGAAACAATTGTCTGGGAATATATCTGCACTCTCTGACGAACCATTGCCGAAGTTCAATCATTGCAAGCTAATTTTTCCACAAAAGTTGTTTCTATTCCTTTACTATAACTATAATACTTTACAAAAACAAATAGAAATTAAATGAAACGTGTCGCATTTATAACTTTTAGTAATTACAACTTTTTCAATCAAATCGATACCATTCGAAAACAAATTGATCAATTTGAATTTTTCTTGTGCAGGTGAAAAATACTCGTTGAGATCTTTAATTTGCGGTTTCACAAAGAGAGGAGTGCCATTTGAGATTTTAAAGTTGAGGTAGGGACCGTGTAGGAAATAACTTACCTCTTGACGGTTATATTGCGATTCGATGTCCCCCTTGCTATCCTATATTCTTCCCAAACCGTGTTTTGATATCTTTACTAGTTACCGAGATATTTAAGTTAATAATTTTCAAATTGAAATTCTGTATAAGGGTGAGCCACGCAATTGGGGCGAGCAAAAAATTAAATGTTATAACAATTTTTCTATTTTTCTAAGAAAAATGTGCAATTGTACTTTTTCGGTGTGTCGTTGCACTTACAAAAAAATAAGTCGATAGAGATATATAAATAATAGAAAAATAGTCAATAGAAAAATTGTTATACCATTCAACTTTTGCCTGTACCATTTTTTTCTATCTCCAATCGCGTGGCCCATTCTGTATACAACTAGGTATCACATTCTTTCTGAAATATAAAATATAATATAAAAAGTATATAAAGAATGTAAAAGAGCAAATATAAGTGTATTAGCTACATTTTATTTTAATTATTACTAAAAATAGAATAACTTAAAAAAAAACATAAAGCTGTGCAATTAGTTTTGTTGGAAGAATATTCGACAGGGAAGTGGTTAAATAATTAAGAAATTTTAAATGTATAACACAACATTCAGAATAATTGACAAAATACCAATTTATATGACTACTTTTCTAAAATAATTCTTACGTATTATGCATATGTAATTTGTTTCTTCTTATTTTTCTGCCATATTGTTCATATATTCTTAATTATGCCTAATAAATAAATAAATATAATATAAATATGATAAACATAAATATAATAAATTATTATGCCTAAACTTATGTAGCAAATCGATATTTCAGAAAATTATAAAATAACAAATTGTATGACCACTTTTTTTTAACATGCTTAGTAATGTGCAGTGCATTTTTTGTTCTTTTCCTATCAATTTCGCCACGTCTTCTTATCATTATGCTGCCCATGAAATTCCGATCATTTTTCGGAATAGAATTTTTGATTATGAGTATTTCGATGGTCAAAAAAATATTTCTCAATAATCATGCTGAAAATGTGCATGCAGCTATTATTTATATAAGAGATAACTGCATTTACAGCAACAGAAACAATGCTCATTGTATATCTCAAACGTCCTTGCAGAATCTTTAGAACAGCCAGATAAGAAAATGCAGAAATGTAAATAATAAAAAACAATCGTATATTTTGTATTGTGAACAATATCTCGTTCGTCGTTTCTAATAAATTTA